ATTTAAATCACACGTTGCACCGTTTTCAACCTTCTTTAGGCAAAATGACCACACACTTGACTTTATTTACTATCTAGAGATTAGAGTTCATAAGTGCCACTACAAACTAGAACCGCTCTTTTCGACCCAGCTACATGGGGTGACAGTGCTGGTCGCTATGGGTCCCCTTTACATGACCAGGATTTGTGTACGCTCAAAGCGATATAATGTTAGATTTTCACTATTTTAAACATTATTGTTTTACACATTTTCTTGCACTATAAGCCTACCTGGGTTCATAATGACATTTGGGGAGTAATCATCAACGTTGTTGCACCGCAAAAACGTGTTGGAAAACTGCCAACTCCTCGGCGCTAGCGCGGATCGCGGCCATGTTGTTTGTTTACATTCTTTTTAGGGGCCTTCGGGCCTGGCGTAACCTATTCTCGCGCTGCAAGGCGAGTCAAAGCGAAATAGCGCAAAAACTTACGCAAAAACTTACTGTCTACCGGTCGTGTGGGTTCGGTAGCCCGTCAGTTCCCGGCCGGGTCTCCCTGGTCATAGAGGTGGGCATGAACGCCAAGATGGCGCACAGACTGATCGAAACCATTCGAGCTTACAGAGTTTACATACCACTCAGGTATGGAAAAAAAATTATATTTCAAGAGTATTACAAGATGCTAATGCAAGGCAATATTGTCGTGATTAGATATACTGTTTCAGTTTCTTGTCTTGCCATGTGGAAAGTTATTTAATGTTTATATGTCATTGATTTATAGATCATTGCCACGTGCACTGTACCTGTACCACTCTCTGTATATATATATATATGTTACAATGTGATCGCGTAACTGCACTCTGTAATCAATGTTTTTAAAGAAGACCATTTGCCAAAAATTAGGAACTTTTAAGAGTAGATTGGGCACACAGCCAAATCTGTGAAAACGTTTGAATGATTTGCAATACTTCTCTGTTGAGTAGATTTGGATTTAGTATTGTCTTCAAATCAATTCAAGGAATCTTAAACGTAGACAGCTTTTTCCAATGGGTTTGTGCGGTACGTATTTATGCCAGGCGATAACAAAAGTTGGTTTACACAAATTACATGTACGATTTCTGACGAAAAGCGTCAGGCATTGTTATGTTTACCGAAGAAATATATATTGCTTTTGCTTTGTTTCCTCCTCCTCTTCTTCTTCTCCAAACCAATAAGGTCAATGACCTGAACCAGACCATGGTAACTGGTGTTGGGTTACATCATGTTGCAATTTTATATCAGGACGGATTTAGACTCCTGTCTGACCATACATATAAATGTGTTTGAGGAAGAATTAACAGAGCAGACCAAATGCGAAGGTAAACATGACATTTGCTTTGAAAATGTAAGCTTTCTAGTTCAAAATCTATCTCTCGTTGCTTGAGTATTTGATTTCTTGTGCATTTCTCAGCGTATTTGTGTACGGAGACTTTGCCGAGCTTTTCCCCGAGATGGTTCTGAACTGGTCCCTGAACCACACCGTCGGTGTCCGGGAGGGGCATCCGTACCCGCCGGGACACTTCGACATCATCAACCCGAGATGGATCCGTACCAACGTCATCATCAGCGTGCTCCGGTGAGGTTTAGAAAAATCTGGTGTTTATATAGAAGTGTCCATTGCTTTATAGGTAGATATGTATGTTATTTATTATCTATTGTTTTAAGAATCATTGAAATTATTTTATTTACATATATTTTCTGAGGACTGGGCAAAAGTAACATTATGATATAGTAATCTAGGCCCTCTCCTTACATGCACAAATCAAATTAACTAAAAAAATACAAGATTATAACAATAATGAAGATAACGACTGATATACAAATAAAAAACAATCAATCAAAATCACCTGTCAAAATAAACTTGAAAACCACACACAAAATATAACGTACTGTATTAATATTCGCAACAGAAATCACGATTCCTGGTATTATGTAGTCTTAATGTCCTTTGTCTTTTCACTTTTCCGATGGTACTTCAGTCTCCATGAGCTTGGTCTTCAGCCGGCCTTCTACCTCCCGGCCAGTACCGGTAAGGACATCACCGGCGCTGCAGCACAGAGGAACCTGCGTGTGGTCTACCCAACCGCACGGTTTCCACCAACAAAAGGTAGGTCTGTGCACGTCAAAACACCACGTACCTAGTAAGTAGAATATTCCTCAATCAGCGGTCAAAGGTAGAAACATGTACCTCCAAAGTTTCGATGTCCACTGTACACCTTGATCATGGAATGACCTAGTCTCGCGAGAACACGAGGCTAGGTCGAGACTTGAATGTGCAGATCTTCTGGCCCTCCTCGCCTCCCTGTGTAGTAGACATCGACAATTTAGAGGTACATGTTTTTACCTTATAAAATGTCAAAGATTTAGGAATATTATACTAACCGCGATATACACCTGACAGATGAAGCTCTTCAACGATTAAGAACCTAGATGTCATTTTGCGCAATAAGAAAGTTATAGACCTTTTGGAGGGGGCATGAAGCCGAAAGCTACATGTACCTCACGGAGCAACATTTTGAAACACTTGAAGTACGTCTTATTAGTTGTTAGGTGTACAAGTAACGGTTATATGTGTGTGGTCATGATGGCCAAAATCAACCCGTTTTTAACTCAATTGTAATGTATACTAACCCCAATAATAATCATTGGCAACTTTGGCAGTCTTTTGGCTTCCTTTCAATCGGACCAATGATATATATACGTAAAACCTTGAATAGGTATCAACAACGTGTGCAGGTCAAATATGATAGCATGCTAAACTATCGTCCACCCTTGTTGCATGTACCAATACTGCACCTGTTTGGCATACATTGAATCAATTCACCAGTTTCCCATCCCCAGAATACTTAGCAAAAACAGGAGGGCTAACCTCATTTGCATAGGACAGGAAGGCATTGGAATGATCCTAGTGATGTTAAACAACTTGCTTTTCACTGTGTTTTGAGGTGTTGGGCCATGGGGCATTTTATGCTCAACATTAATTAAATTACTATGGGTCGAATTTGACAACAAATAGAGAATGAAGTTTTTGTGTTCTTTTCAATATGGAACATGTGGCTTGTAACGTTACAGCATCACATGGCATCGTTTACCACTATACATTACAAACAATTCATCCCAAAAAAATCCATTCTCTATTTGTTGTCAGATTCAACCCATAGTATCTTGAGCATAAAATGCCCCAACATCTCAAACACACTGAAAAATAAGCTGCTTAACGTCACCAGGATCATTCCGATGCCTCCCTGTCCTATGCGAATGAGGTTTAGACCCCTGTTTTCGCACTGCATTCTGGGGATGGGAAACTCGTGAATACAACCTATACAAGTTTTTTTCCTTCTTTTTTTTACATTCAGGAACGCTGCTCATCTATAACAACTACTACTACTACCGAGACGTGGAGCGAGTGCCCAAAGCTTTGCGCATGATCAGTTCAGCTTTAGGTCAGAACGGAGGTATCCTGAGCCTCAACTCCGATCACCCTGATAGCTACATGATCTCAGTGTTCCTTCTGGACTATCTAGTCGAGAACTCTGGTTTCCGACTGGTTGGAATCAATGACTGTATTGCAGGGGTTTGAAAAGAACCCACATGACTTTACTTCATACACAACCGTGACAGACTCTTATGCTTAGGTCACATTTGCAAACCGGGGCCCGGCCGGGCTGTTTGTATGAACGAAAAATTAACAATCCTTACTAAGAGTAAATAGATATAGTGCCCATGATAATCATCAAAAACGTTTCTGTGTTTTGTTGACTTTTATATCGTACTTTTTGTTCCCAAAACCTGCCCGGCCGGGCCCCGGTTTGGAAATGTGACCCCAGCATTACAATGCCCGTTAGACACCTTCCTCAGAGATTCTGACTGGAGTACTGCTTCTCACCGCTATATGTAGGTGGCGCTTTTACGGCGAGAACAGAATCCTATCAGATGATGAGAGACTTAACTGGCTGTGTATACACAAGGAGGTTTAAAAAAACTTTTATTCAACCTCCCTGGTGTAATGAAATCTCCATTATTCTAGTTTCCACCAACGTAACGTGATGAAATTATTCTGGGGAGAATCAACAGGTTCGAATTCATGTCTCTAAGAGGCTAAAATAAACCCTTCTACTGTTACTGAGAAATATGCCTTTCTAATCTCTGTGTCTGAAGCTCAATCAAAGTAAAGTCTTGTTCGAATTTGCTAGTTGTGCCATGTTTCTTTTGTCCGTGTTGGTTTTGTCATCTTTCCTCCTCACGTCTGCTTGATTGTGTGGCCTCACCTCGGGCATCTAAAGCAGCCCGGGCTGTCCACTTATCAGAGCGGAAAAAATGTGACCTCACACCCGTCGAGTAGGATCGCTCCTCGTGACGTCACACGAGGAAGTGATTACAGAAAACCCTGCCCACGCAGAGCGCTCGTGCTTATCACTTAAAGGGGAAGTCCTGTACACATACAGGACAGAGAGGAAATATTTCCCGATTCAGTGAGAGTGGAGCGAAGCTGTGTTCTGCACCATGGAAGTGTTCCGTGCGACCAGTAAAGGACAGACGTTAATACGCGCCATGTCACTTCTCGGTGTACTACTATGCCTGTATCCAGCAGTCTCAGGTACGTTACGTGACCTCTTAAACTGTACTTTGTCAGAATGTGGTAACTCTTGCCCTCTGACGTGGTGTGAGAGCCACCACGTGCAAGAGGAGTGAGTGAGTGAGTGAGTGAGTGAGTGAGTGAGTGAGTGAGTGAGTGAGTGAGTGAGTGAGTGAGTGAGTGAGTGAGTGAGTGAGTGAGTGAGTGGTAACTCTTGCTAGGACAGGATAACAGTTGAAAGATTTCTTTTGACATACTTTGAGGTCTTCATGTTTTGAAATGCCAATCCGTGTATAACATATCGGTGTAACACCATGGTCCCCTCCCCAATACTAATGTAAGACACTGTCCCAACAAGCGTAATGTGTGTGTGTTAGGGGCTGTGGTGTGTTTGTAGTGATGGGAACAGATACCGAAAAAACAGGAACTTCACTTGGATTTTTCAAAAGGCGTTTTCGGCATATCATATAGAAATATCGCAATGATCTGTGATGTAAATATGGGGTTAATATTTGAGTTGTGACAATTTTCACAAGAACCATCACGGAAATATAATGTATAATGCTTGTTTCTTTCGCTTGCTGTTATCACACATGTAGATATGATTAATTTCTGCACATGTATTTCCGCATCCATTGTAAGTCATTGTAAGCCATTGTAAGCGATAAAATACAGAACAAAGTTTTCTCACACACTATCTTTGCCTAACCGTCCCCTATTAATCAAAATTGACAGATGCCTCATATCACTGTAGAGACGCTTGTTTCTAATACTGTACACGGAGATGTTTATTGTGGAGATTTCAGCAATGTTTTAAAGATATATTAAGTAATGTGTTTTCTTTTAGAGAACAGTATTATATTTTCTAATACGTTCTTCGAGGAGAGGTATAGAATTTGAAACGACCCACTTCCTTGAATTCAAGGTAGCAATTTTATGGTAATGTACTGCTGTGTCATAGTAGATCCAAAATGGCCGACGGTTTGCATATCGACAAAAACGTCAAAAGTTCCAGTTTGAAAATTTAAGAGAAAATCATGAGTAAAATGCAACTTGTGTATAAAATGATATAATGGGGATTTTTAAAAAATCATGCACGTGTTTGTTTGAGTCTTCTGCATTTTTACTATCCCCCCTCCTCTTCAAGATAGTTGATATTCACCCCCCCCCAAACTCATTACATTCTTGGCATATTCATGTACCTTTACGAAAGAGGATGAGTCATGTTCGTGGCCCGAATGGTGTAAAAGTGAATGCGGGCCAAGTCACGTAATAGTAAGGGTGGATTGCTCCCATGACGTCAGAAGGAAGTAAATACAGAAACTAATCTTCAAATAGATATCCGGCTGGTAAAGTCGTGACGGTTTCTGATCACGACTGACCCCCAAGATTTGTGTGTTCAGATATGTGGGACCAGTACTAGTCAGAGATTGTCGTGATTTCGCCTCGAAGATCAGAATAGAAGCTATACTGTAGAAAGAATAGTGGCTGAATAGACCTTGGCTACAGTCTGGCTTCGAGGTTATACAGGGAGGTTCTGCTATGTGTATTTCTATTCTATCGCCTACAACATGCGGAGAGAATAAGGAACTAGCCTCCACCAGGCCTTCCTACGGGGGTACTGATAATAGAATTTGATAAACAAAGGGAAATAGTTGGCCAGGAGAGTCAGTCCAAGCGAGGGTTAACTTCCCCTTTTGATCATGAAGGGGGCAAATGAACTCTACGCTGGTTAAACAATCCTAGTCAATTATTCTAGCTATTGGCTAAATTTAATTTTTTTTTCGAACCCGCGTTGTTAGTCAGGTATAGACTAATGAGGAACATTGTACAGGAATAAAGAATAGACCTAGGCTCACAGGTTTTGACCGTCCGGTTTGCAAATTTACAAGGTTCACTGCTTAGTGTGGGTAAGACATCAACATTCAAGAAAAGTTATCTATGAATTATCGCCAATATTTTCTTCGTTTAAGTAAAATGTTGTAAGCTGCTTATAATGTGTACAGAAAAAAGTTCCCCACATCTGTGACATGCCTCAGTGGGTTACAGTCATTTTCCCTAAGCATGTTGTTATCACAAATAAAGCCATTTGTCTCACCCAGAGAATCCTACAATCCTAGAATCCTACAAAGGTAAGACATCCTGTGTTTTAAGTCATTATGTTCAAATTGTTTTGAAGTATGACTACTGAATAGGTTCCAAATTGTAATCGTAATGTTTATGTATTTTGTGTTCACTTATTTTGCTGTGGTACCTGTGCCATGCATGTCTGTGTTTTTGTCTTCCTATGAAAATTGAATTTTACACAATGTGAAAAAAAGACATGCTCACTGATCATGGCCCCAGTCAATGGCTCATGTCAGCCTTGTTTACCAAACATACCAACACAGATTATGTCTAACAATACTATTTACTCTCAAGCACAAAAGGAGAGAGAGGTCGTGAAAAAACAGGGGAAATTGTCCATGCGTGACAACCCTATACACAGACTGACTGAAGGGGGAATATGCCTGGGGTATTAAGTTGACATTACAGACAAACGTATATATAGTAGTATAGTAGGGCATTGTGTTGACTAAGACAGTCGGCCTAACGCACTCAGTTCCGGATTCTCTTAATTTTGTTGATGTCTGTATTTAGCTTTGACACCTGTGAATTGACTTGTAATGAGTAATTGTTTGTGTCTGACATAAAAGACATTCTCGCATGTGCAGAGGAGTCTATACATGATGTGTTAAAATACTTTCCAAGCAGAGGTTTGGGTTTTGGCTTATTTTTGGCGTGTCTATAGGTTTTTCATCGGGGTTTCGTTTTTGCACTGGGTTGGGTGAAAAAAAAAACATCCCAGTGCAAGAAAGGCACCCCGATAAAAAAAGCTTAAAAACACGCCAAAAAACCCAAACCTCTGCTTGGAGAGTATTGTTAAAAGACAAACCTGTGCCTATGGCAATGTGAAGATTAAGGTAGACATGTACAATACATAAAACATATTCATATATCTGTATGATTATATTGTGCTTGTCGACTTGTGCTTGTCGACTTGTGCTGTACAGAAATTTAACATAACCTTTGTTTACTACCCCAGGAGTAGCCGACCTGACAATAACCAGCAAGTTTCCATACTATCCGGATGACGACTACACCTGGTTGTACTGCTACCACACCGGAACGATTATAAACCAAAGAGGGTATCAGTTCGGGCTTGAACTGGACACAGGGTCAGGACAATTGTTTTTTTTAGCCAGAAATACCTACACCAACCCGCGGCGTGTAAGGGTCTGGACTTACGACACTCGAAATGAGGTCCCGGTTCATCCTACCAACGCCATTTCCTGCATAGGTCGGCAAAACGGTGTTACGGACAAAGTGATCACATTCAAGATGAAAGAAGACGGTAGGGATATTCTGTAGATTCATTCCATAATATTGGTTGTTATAAGACTCTCTGTTTCTCTCTCTCTATTTCAATTTTGTGTCTCTATCTCCCTGTCTCTCTCTCTCTTTCTGTCTCTGTCTCTCAGTCTGCCTCCTCCCCCTCTCTCTCCCTTTCACCCCTCTCTCTCTCTGTCTCGATATAGATATATGCATCCCCAAGTCCCAGCGTCATTGTTCAACAAACGAAAACTGTCTATTTCAGCTGACGTGAGGCCCCGGCTGTTCTCCCGTACCGTGAATGTGGGAGACGCGGTAACGTTAGAGATGGTTCGGAACCCTGCCTCCACCAGGACTGGAGCCCTGGAGTGGAGGAAGAACGGAGTCGTCCTACAGGGTCAGACGGCTCTCACACTCAACATCAACAACGTCCAGTCTTCTGATGAAGGGATCTATGAGTGCTACTATGGCTGGGCGTATTCTGACAGGAAGCAGGGCATCATGAGGCTCATGGTTAGAGGTAAGTCCTATCACGTACACATCATCATCATCATCTGGCGGCTGCGTTAGAGCAGACGACGTACACAAGATGGGCCGCAATTTCACAACATTATAATCTCATGACATTTCCTTGCACGTGCATGCATATGAGGGTGTGAGTATCATCACATCAATTATAAATGAAAATATAGCATTATTATTTGCTTCATTGAGTTGCACTTATGTCATCATAACTAGTAGATATGACACAACATGAAAAACATCAACATTAACATAATATATGCATAGTGGTGTTAACCTTTAAGTAACTTACACATGTCACAAGGTATAACAGTCCCATCATTCACCAATAAGGAGTCACAAGATTTTCACATTGATTATGCAAATTAAGTCATCATTTGCATGATTGGTATTTGTTGATGTTCCGCCTGCCACATATTAAATAGATTACATGTATAAAAGTACTATTATATAAAACACTGTAATTATAGCATTTCCTCATTAATCATAAAAAGTCAGTCCTCATTTGCATAATTTGCAGTTATTTATGTACATCTCTCTTTTAGCTACCTACACACCAAAAATGATGAAAATGCGGTGTTCCTATCTGGACTTATTGGCTTTTAAAGATTTCGCCAGAAAGTGCCCTGCAGTTCCATAACAAGCTGCTAGGAGGACCAAACTCACGTAAATTATTCCTGACAGACGTGCCAAAAACAATACCTCCATTTTTCATGGAGGTAATAATGTTCAATTCTGTCCAACTTTAAGTAGGCCTGATGGTAAATTTAAGACAACTTCTGAAGAAAACAACTGTAAGCGCCAACTTTCCTATTTGTATTTGCTAGCCTGGTATCCAGCCTTGTTAGCTTTAGTCCGCTCCCCAAGATCCCGGCGCTCCCCGCCAACAAGCGGATCTTGGGGAGCGGACTAAAGCTAACAAGGCTGGATACCAGGTTATGTATTTGCCGCCTTTAGATTAGCTATCATAATGAGGTAGTCTAGTTCCCGCCAAATTCCCTACCCCCTGAACACCAGAGAGGAAAGCCCGTCCAGACAATAGGCTCCAGATGGAGAAGGCCAGGGCTGTGACAAAAGGACTATAAGGCACAGAAAGGACCCAAGGTGCATAAGGCAAACAGGCTTCCAAAGACAGGAAGAAAATAGGCTTCTCTAGAAGAAAAGAACAGGCTTCCCAAGACGGAAGAAAATAGGATTCACAACGGGAGAAGAAAATAGGATTCTCAACAGGAGAAGAAACAGGATTCTCAACAGGAGAA